CGGGTGAGGGGGGTAGGGGGACAAGCCTTTGTTCCCCAGGGTTCAGTTACACTTGTTTACATTCCTGAAGTGTTGGTTAAATATGCTAACACACATGGAGCACCCAGCCCACACCTGCTCACGTGATTACCCAGGTGGAGTGTGAAGGCTGCCCACTGTCTGGCACTGGCCACAAAGGCCCCATCTTCCACAGAGAGGTAGCGTGTGGACACTGTCTGGGAGCGCAGGCGGTTGAAAAGGGAGACCTTTGAGCCCGAGGAGATGCACACTGTGAGAGGAGAGGAATCAGTGTCCTGGCCTCGTGTGGTCCCTTGGTCGGCCCCAATGATCTTCTGTCCTCTGTGGCAGCCTGGCTAATAAGCTCGCTGGCCTGGACACGATGGGTATCTGCATTTCACAGCCACTTAGCTAGGGTCTGCTTCAGCTCTGAGCTTGCCACTCCCTGGTACAATAGGGCATCCTTCAGTTGGGGGAACTGAGTTTACCGAGTCACTTAGGACCTGCTTTGTGGTAGGTATTGTGCTGGGTGCTGATGGTGTGAATTGGGCCCAGTTTTGCCCTGAAAGAGTTCATGGTCTGGAGGACATAAATAGGAAATGCTAACACAGTCTGGTGAAGGCTGAGTTTAGGAGGCCTCCTGGGGCTGGGAAGTGTGAAGCAGGTGGGAGTTGCATTGATGGCCAGCAGCTAAGCAAAGATCGCGTGCTACGAAAGAGCAGGGGAACTTTTCTAGAGCTCCCCATGTCTTCCGGCCTATGGCATATGCTCAGAGACCCAGCTTTATTTTCTCACCGGACTTAGACCAGTCCAGGATATGGCCCTGGGCAGGGTGCCCTCCTCTCTACTTTTAATGCTGAACAGACTGTTGGCATGCCATTTGCACCTAGTCCAAGCTACTTCCATTGAATTTATCATACAATAGGTCCTTTCCTTCCTTCCTTTCTTCCTCCCTTCTTTCTTCTTTCTTTCTTCCTCCCTCCTTCCCTTCCTCCCTCCTTCCTTCCTCCCTTCCTTCCCTTTTTCTGTATGTGTGTGGAGGTCAGAGGTTTACTCCAGGTACCGCCCTCCATAACTTTCCACTGGATTGACACAGGCTCTCCCTAGATTGAGAGCCCTCCATTTTTCTAGAACTTTCTGGCCAGAGAGCAGGAGGAGAATCTGCCTGTCCCTACTTGCTCAGTGCTGGGGTCACCAGCACCTGCAGCCACATTCAGCTTTTATGGGAACCCAAACTTGGATTGTCATGCTTGTGTTGGAAGTACTTCAGACACCAAGCCATCTCCCACCCTTCTCTAAATCTAAGTATCAACTCAGCTGATTCTCTTACTTCCGACTAAAGGATCATTCTGCCCAAGGTCAGGCAGCTAGCAAACTTCAGAACAGGGTTCAAGCCTGTCACCATGCCATCTGCTTTTCCTGAATACCAAGGGCCAACTAGACCACTGCTTGGATCTGGGATACAGCTTCCTTAAGGTCATTTTTTTAATCGGCCTGTGGTTTGGCACCCCGCTGCAGCCTTTATCTGTTCTGAGTTTCCCACTGACGCGTTCAAATCTGGTTGTCTCTCCTTTTCCTGCATCTCCATGTATGAGCTCAGGTGACTTTTCTTTTGGTCTTGGCCTACCACTCATTCAGCTGTGAGAAGTGTGGGAACCCGCGCCACGAGGCTCACCTGCCACCCCCCCCCCCCCCCCCCGCCCCCCCCCCCCCCCCCCCCCCCCAATTTTACAGCTCCAGATTTGAATCGCACCCTCCCACTCCACTCTCTCTCACGGTCTGTGTTTTTCAGCGACTGCTTCTTCTGTGAGGGCTTGGAGATCACCTTGATGAGGCGACTATGGAAGGTACCCAGCTCTTGGCCCCCTCGCAGCACAAGCCGCAGCACTAGACGGAAGTGCTTCCTCTTGTCGGCGTCAGAGATGTACAGGGTCTTGGCACAACCAAATTCCTACGGGGCTCGTGGGGATGGGACCCGTCTTAGCTCAACTCTGCCAGCGCATGCGTCAACCTCCCGCAGTTATGACAGCCATCCCATCAGAGATGACAAGAAGCCGTACTAGCCAGGTTCTGAATCAGAACCTCCCCCGCCTGGTCTCCCCGCTAGTCTCGTGGCTTCTGGAGAGGACTTGGGGAGTCCTCCTTTCCAAAGAAGAGGCAGGGCTGGGGACAGGAATTGGATGCGGTCTCATGCAGTCTCACCCTTGAGTCCGGCTGCTCTTCGAAATTCAACTTCTGCGTCTCCGGAGCGCTGCCGGACGCACCGTCCAGTCCCATGTAACCGTAGACAGTGGGCCCGGTCTCCGCAGATTGGTGGGCTAGAAAATGACGGGGAATTAATCCTTGAAGGACTGGGGAGACTCAGGTGCCAGTCAAACTTAGCTCTTGCCACCAGAGGGAGCAACGAGACTGCTCCTGCAATCGGCTGGACTCAGGGCCCTGCTGAATTAATCCTTCCTGCAGAGAAACAGTCCTTGCGTGCTCTTACCTTGGTCTTGCACTGGTTTTACCCTCCAGCCTGGGCCGGCGAGGTAGACACAGGGCGGAGGGCAGAAGAACCTGGAAACACGCAGAGAGCTGGATATATTATTTCCATTGTCTTGAAAGTGTCTCAAAGAGACATAAACCCAAAAACTCATGATTTCCCCCTCCTCTCCTAATTGAGTGAATCCTGTTAACACAGAACATTCTCTTGCTTATTAAAACCCTCTAAGTCCTGCCCATTCCACCTTCAAGACATATCTGGACTCCGATGCTTCCTACCACCTCCACCTTGGTCCTAATGGCTACCTCTTGCCTTCCAAAGGTCTCTCCCTTGTTACTGCCCCTCTTTGAACTTTTTCCCCACACAGCAACCAGGTTACTTCTTAAATAACACTTGGCTCGGCAGATAAAATGCTTGCCAGGGTCAACCCGACAACCTGAGCTCAATCCCCAGAACCCACAGAAAGGTGGATGGAGAGAATCAACTATGCAACGTTATCCTCTGACCTCCATACAAGTTGTGACATCCATCCACACATACAGTAATAACAAGAGCATTGAAAATAACAGTCAAGGGGCAGGAGAGACGGCCCAGGGTTTAAGAGTGCTGGCTGCTCTTCCAGAGGTCCTGAGTTCAATATCCAGCACCCACATGGTGGCTCATAACCATCTGTAAGGGGATCTGGTGCCCTCTTCTGGTATGCAGGCATATATGTAGACAAAGCACCCAAGCACATAAAATAAGTAAATACATTTTTTTTTTTTTTTGACACAGGGCTTCTCTGTGTAGCTTTGGCGTCTGTCCTGGAACTTGCTCTGTAGCCCAGGTTGGCCTTGAACTCAGACATCTGCCTGCCTCTGCCTCCCAGTGCTGGGATTAAAGGTGTGCGCTACCACCCCCCAGCTAATAAATAATCTTCAAAAATCCAGTTAAACCAAATTGGTTGTGATGGCTCATGCCTGTAACCCTAATCCCAGCACTGGGCACTGGAAGGGATGAGGCTTGAGGCAGGAGAATTACTGTGGATTCAAGTCCAGCCTGAGCTACAAAGTCAAAGTTTGTCTCATTCTCCCAAAATATAAAAATAAAATAAATGATATTATTAATAATGATGAAAACATGAGTCAAATTATGATACTCCCCTATTAGAATCCTTTAGTGGTTTAAAATCCTAAGTCTGGACATGTTTCCTTCTCCTGTTTATTTCCCATAACAACCCGCCCCCCCCCCCAATCCTCTTACGGGACTAGCTGCACAGCTAGCAGCCTTGAGGTCCTTGTCTTTTCTGGCCCCTCTAGTTGGAATGCTTGCTGGAGATTTTTTCATGTCTGGCTCCATTTCAGCATTGGTACTCCAGTTCTGATGTCACTTCCTAAAGAGCCCTTTGACCTCCTTGACCTTTCAAGCTAAGCTATCCCCTTTGGTTTCTACCAGGTGACCCTGCTCTGTTTTCCTTGCAGCTCTCATCAGAATCTCAAGTATCTGGTTTGCTGATTTGTGGGGAGGTAACTGCGTCTTCTGCACCTGAGTGAAGATGCTGTGCCAGTCTTGTGCGGCTGGATGAATTAGTGCCCAGCAGTGACCATAGGGCCTGCTGTGTGACACCAAGAAGGTGAGTGAATGGATGATGGGGGTGTGTGTGGGCATCTGAGAGTCACTGTGAAGCTCTGCTGTGGATCCAGTTGGTGGCTACTGTTGGCCGAGGAACCAGACCCTGATCGGCCAATAGCTGAGGTGTCAGCCTTGAGGCCTCCAAGATGTAAAAGCAGCTAAGTGGTGGGAGGTTGGGGAGGGGTGCATAGGGCTGAAGGCTGTGGAGACCTAGGAGTGGATATGGTGTCACCCTACCTCTTCTCATTTCCATAGGACTTCTGAGCCACCTTGGCATGCAGGATCCACACAGTCTGCTCACATCTTTGCTGCAGGCATGTACGCACCCCTTCCCTCAGGATGGCAGCATGCTCTGGGGGTGACCTAGGAATGGGGATGGGCCAACCAGCCACAGGAAGGGGAGGCAAGGGTTGAGCTGGCACAAAGCTGAAGTAGGAACTGGGGTAGATTTGCATACCCCGACGGGGTCTGGGGAAGAAATGTTAGGCAAAGAGGAGGACTTGGGCTATGGGCCACATATCTGTGCTCCATGAAGCCTGCACGGAGCTCACCAGGATCACCCAGGTGCTGCACTGTGTGGGTGGCTTTCTGACTGGTGTAGTCTGAGGCCATATCGGAAGAGCTGCACTTTAAAGCCCTATACTTGGTCTTCAGATGGAGGTGGGCTTTGTGGAAATGGTAATTAAGCCTTCACCCCAGGAGAATACATAAAAGGAAACAGCTTTTGCCGGCTCCAGGTCCAGGGCACAATCGCAGTTCCAGCAGACAGACGGGTGTAGAAGTGAACGAAGCCCCAGGCCACATTAGCAGGGCCATCAGAATCTTTCTGATGTCCCGACAGCACCCCTGGCTTATTGCTATAGGTGTTTTCCTTTCTTCGAACACTGTTGGGTTTGTAGGGTGAGTGAGTTAGGTCAGCTCTCTGGGGTCTGTTGCTTGTCAGTCTGAGAGTTTAGCAGGTGAGGATGGGTTTTCATAAGGCTTACACAATGAGTCCATGGTGGGAGATATTTGGGAAATTAGAAGGTTGGGCCCTGAAGAGAGCTAAGAACGCCAAGGCTGTCCTTTTGAGCCCCTTTACCCTCTTAGCAGGACCAAATCCCGGCCTTTCATCACTCCTGGAAGGGACAGAGGAGGGCAAGAACCGGGCGCGTCCTCGGAAGCCCAGCCAGGCCAGCCAGGCGGCGGCCAGGACCGCTCCGCCTCTTGGGGCTCTCCTCTGGGAAGCGTCTCATGTAGGATTCCAGAGCATTCCGGCTGCCGAGAGTGTCGCCGCCCGACTCCAGCTGTAGCCGAATTCCGGCCCGCAGCTCGCTCCTGCAGCTCCAAGAGTGCAGGAGAAGGGGGTGCCGCGCTTGCCCTGCCCGGGCGCTCAGAGGAAGGGGGAGATCGCTCCCTGCCAGTGGGAGGGGTCGCAGCCCGCGCTCCCCCTCCCCACCCGCCCGCCCCAGGCTAAATGCAGCTGCCGCCTCGCCTTGCTCTAGCTGTCTGGCAGTCCCTACCTAGGGCAAGCTGCCTCCCGCGCCCCCCCTCCCCCCCCGCCCGCCCCAGGTTAAATGCAGCTGCCGCCTCGCCTTGCTCTAGCTGTCTGGCAGTCCCTACCTAGGGCAAGCTGCCCACGCCGTTACCTGGTCCAACTCCCCAGGAGGCTTGGCCCATCGCTCTGTAGCGGCGCCTCTGAGCTGTCCAGCAGGCTCAGGTGAGTCAAAGGGCCCGGGGGCACCGAGGGGTCTGCAGCGAAGAGCCAGTAGGGGGACAGTACTTCAACGTCTGTGTGCCTTCATCTAACCCGTAGTACCTTATTCGATGCCCCTCCAGCAAGGCCGACTAAACGCAGGCCCTCCTTCTCTAATCTCCTCCCTCTAGGTTCTGGCACCTTCCCAAAGTGTCCATTCCCGGTCAGCTCTTGACCTCATAGACCTCCCCTTCCTTGGGAATGAACTTTCCCTACCCTAAGGGCATCGGAGAAAAGCCTTCTTCAATGCACGGACTGACTCTTAAGATCTAGGAGAACTGGGGTCCGGTGTCAGTCTAGTGGGCCACCACCACTTCAAAGCAAGCCTTGAGTGATGACTGCCTTTGCCCTCCCGGGACCGACTTTCCTCTGGGGAATAGCAGGTTTGGGAAGTTGAAGTTGAGAGAAGGAAGCTATTTGACTCTGACTCCTGGGGTGCAGGTGAGGTGATGCCAAGTGCGCATTGACTTAGGCCAAGAGTAGCATAAGAGGGACCTTAGTCCAGAGTCAACACGGAGTCTCCTGGGCCTTTATTCAGATGGTAACCGACTCGACTACGGCCCACTCTAGAAAAGGCATCCCCTACTTCCCACGTCCACCAGCAAGCAGCTGGCACATCTTGCTTGCTCAGTCACCCTCCCACGACAGGCCCTGCTGGAGGGATTTTTGTTCTTCTGCCCTGCCTGGAAAGTCAGAAGGGAGAAGAATCCCGGATGGGAAGGCAGTCTGGAGCCAGACACACACACCGGCCTGGCTCAGAAAGGGCCCATTCAAGGAAAAGGGGGCGGGGCGGCGGTGGGTTAGGGGCGCTGGCCTGCGCTGCCAAGAAACAGCGACTGAAAAATGGATAGAGCAGGCTCACCGTGCCGTGTGGGGGTGGGGTAGGAAACGGAAGAAAGGCTTAGTGACTCCTAGGTGCCAGGGAACTAGGAGGCTCTGGAGGAAGAGAGGAGGCCCTAGGTTTAGTTCTGTGCCTGGAACCTAGCTAGCAACCTTATTGGTCCCCAAATTTTCCAGTCGTAGGTGTGTGGTGTGTGTGTGTGTGTGTGTGTGTGTGTGTGTGTGTGTGTGTCCGTCCTACGTCGTTCTCAGGGGACCTCGCTAGACTACGCAGGAAAGTGAAGGCTCACCTGTTGTCCCCACGGGTTCCATAGCCGTGCGTCGAAGCCCCAGCCGCTCTCTCGCTGCTCTCTGAGCACGTCTAGTGCCTCTGTCTTCGGTACCCTCCACACCTCTGCCCCCCGACCCTCGCACCGGATATATTTCGTCCAAGCCTTATCTTCAAGGTCCCGGGGCTCCTCAACTGCCTGTTTGCTTTGGGCAGGGACACCTGCTGGGCAGATGTGGGCTTCCCACGGCCATAGAAACCAGACCCGACAGGCGCCCCCTGGCGGCCCCTCCTAAGAGCAGGCGGGTAACAAAGACGTCGAGGCGGTTCTTGTTCAAGGCCCACTCCCGGGGCTTACCACTAAGACCCTAGAACCCAAGAGGGCTGCACTTCTCAAGGGGTGGGGAAGCCGGTGAGGGATGGCTTCTCTCTGCAGAAGAAGAGAGTATGGAGCACCTTGGCTGATCGACAGACAGACAGACAGACAGGAGTCTATCACCATGTAACCACTTCCCTGCTATATGAGGTTGGTTAGCAGCATTTAATTTCTTTAAGCCTCTCTTTCTGAATAGGTACAACCAAGCCAACAACAGCCTTAAGTGCCAGAACTGGGTAGAGAGTTAATGCCACATCGAATGAACGTATTTAACGTTGTACCTGGTATTTAGAAAAGACTTCTTTGGGGACCGGCAGGATGCTGCCAAAACTGACCACCGGAGTTCAGTACTATCTAAGCCTGGGACCTACACAATGGAAGGAGAGAGCTTACTTCAACGAAGTGCCCTTTGACCTCCACACGTGTGTGTCGTAGTGTGTGCATGCATGCACAATAAAAGCACATAAAACATCTTTTTAGAAAAGAGTTTATCAATCCTTTTGAGGTTTATATGTTTTCGTCTACTCTATTTACTTGGTGTCCTGTAGTTCTGTAAAATGTCATTTTCTGTTGTGAATTTCAGCAATCCCAGGGTGGTAATATTAAAAAAATTACCATAAGACTCTTGTTTTCAGACAAGGTCTTAGCATGTAGCCCTGGCTGGCCTGGAACCGACTATGTTGACCAGACTGGCCTCAAACCCACAGGGATCTGCCTGCTTCTGCCTCCTGAGTGTGCAACCATGCCTGGCAAGACATTTTGAACATACACAGAAACAAAGTGCACACCCCCTGAAGTAAGAGAAAGGTCAAAACCGTTTCTTTATTACCTTCAGGCTGTGACACTTTGGTGCTTCCTCCTACAGGCATCATGAGAGGTCTTTTCTGGCCACTGTCACTGTTGCTGCTCTCCCTCCAGCCCTGGGAAATCCAGCTCCAGTCTGCAGGTGAGCGGAGGCCCAGCCCTCACCGTGGGAGGAAGGGAGCAGAAACAGCTCCTTCTTCCACCTCCAGCCAGCATTGCTGGAGAAGGAAAAGCAAGGGCTTTGGAACACTGTGGGCTGGATTTGGGCTTCCCACATCATCTCTCGTGTGGTTTCCTCGCTTGCAGCATGTGGCATGGCTTTAGGTTCATGCAGAACTGGTCATTTGGTTTTGAATTTTATGGAAGCATATTAAAAACATGGAAAAATCAGGAGGTTCCGCATATAAACCCCTATTTGAGAATTTTCTTGAAAAAAAAAAAACTGAAAGGACCTGCTAAACACCCAGCCCACTTGGGTATATGACAATATGTTGCTGGGACAACCCACATTATCAGGGATACCGCGGCTTGTGGTGAATAGGCATAATCGAACCAGTTCATTCATTTATAATAAATATCTGACCGGTTCACATAGGCATTGGAGATTGGGACATCTCTTTGCCCGCTCCCCAATATATAATACAGACTCAGAACAGCCCCTATAGGATGGATGAGTTACTGTATCCAAGGTGTTTGTTAGGCTAATATGCTAGGCGCTGTTTCACTGGATAACAGCGTCTGGCTTTTCCTGAGAGATCAGCTTTAGTTGACCCGAGAGAGTCCTTTCCCATCTCCCTGCAGGTCCTAGGTGCTATACTGGGCCCCTGGATTTGGTGTTCGTGATTGATAGCTCCCGCAGCGTGCGCCCCTTCGAGTTCGAGACCATGCGGCAGTTTCTAGTGGGCCTCCTCCGTAGCCTGGATGTGGGGCTGAACGCCACGCGTGTTGGAGTGATCCAGTATTCTAGCCAAGTGCAGAGCGTGTTTCCCCTGGGCGCCTTCTCCCGTCGCGAGGACATGGAGCGCGCCATCAGCGCCGTAGTGCCTCTGGCGCAGGGCACCATGACCGGGCTGGCGATCCAGTATGCCATGAACGTGGCCTTCAGTGAGGCCGAAGGCGCCCGCCCACCGGAGGAGCGAGTGCCGCGGGTCTTGGTCATCGTGACCGACGGGAGACCTCAAGACCGAGTGGCCGAAGTGGCCGCGCAGGCGCGCGCCCGCGGCATCGAGATCTACGCGGTGGGGGTGCAGCGAGCCGATGTGGGCTCTCTACGAGCCATGGCTTCGCCGCCGCTGGATCAGCACGTCTTCTTGGTGGAGTCCTTCGATCTCATCCAGGAGTTTGGTCTGCAGTTTCAGGGTCGGCTGTGCGGTGAGTTAGAGTGACTACATTCTAGTTTGCATCATTGCAGACAATCCCTCTCTGTCGCGTGGGCGTGGCCGGGAGGGCTTTACTCCGCCCTCCAGGTACAGTAGCGCTATTCTGCCTGCAGAGTGGTGTGTCACAATTCAGGCTTGGTTCCTCAACACTCGGCAGCCAGTCCTGCTTGCTGGGTCAGGGACTAACCATGTACTTTGCGTGGTGTGTCACAAGCTAAATGTCAAACTTCCAACACCAAATGTTTTTAAAACAAGATTCACTGCTGGGCAGTGGTGGCGCACATCTTTAATCCCAGCCCTCGGGAGGCAGAGGCAGGCAGACCTCTGTGATTCGAGGCCAGCCTGGTCTACAGAGTGAGTCCCGGGGCAGCCAAGTCACACACACACTTATCAACCCTTAAAATTGAGACTAGTGTCATGCTCTGCCCACCCGATTATGGTTCCTCCCACTCTAAATCCCGCCCCTCCCCCTCGTTTACAAAGGGTATGAGAACTCTCTTAGTCACTTGTGTGGTGTGGGTGTGTGGGTGTGTGGGTGTGTGTGGGAGGACGACGACGACAAGATTTCTTGCAACCTACACTGGTCTTGAAATCGATTTGTAGCTGAGACTGACCTTGAATTCCTGATCCTCCTGAATCCACCTCCCAAGCGCTGAGATTTCAGGCATGCTCTACTGCACGGCCTTTGTACCCATCTACCGTGATTTAATGCCTTTCCATCTTCCTGCAGGGCCCCGACCTCTGTGTGGTCCTATTCTGGCTCCACCCCCTTCATGCTGGGCGGTGCCCTTTTCTAAGACTATCCCATTCTTCCCCTAATCCTCTCACCTGGACTGGCCCTCACAAAGAACCAAACTCACCCTACCTAAGTCCATACTTGGGTATTTGCTCCAGACCCTACCACTGAACCCTCTCCTTGGACACTTCTGTCCCTCTGTTCTCTGTTGACGCTCTCCTTGTGTGTCCTCAGGGAAGGACCTGTGTGCTGAGTGGGGACATGGCTGCCAACACCAGTGTGTCAATGCTCCAGGAACCTTCTACTGCACCTGCAACTCTGGCTACAAGCTAGCCCCAGATAATAAGAACTGTTTGGGTGAGCACTGCCCCGTCCCGCAGTCTCATTGCTCCTGAGTCCTCTTGGGCTTCCCAGCATCACAACCATGATTTTGGCAAGTCCTTTGGAAGCAGAAGCACACCCCTTTCACCTTACAAACCACAGAAGGAGGGATTATTACTTGGGGCCACACAAATCTTTGGTGGATCACAGCCAGGATCAGAGCGCCCCCCCTCCCAGTTAAATGTGTTTTTTGTACCCTTTCTCCTCCGTTTGGCACAGTTTCCTACCTGGATTCAATCCATTTCCCAGACTTGTTTCTTCTGTCTCTCCCCAGACCCCGGCTTCCGGTTTCTGTTACTTAGACACCACTGGGATGTCTTCAGCTAGGTGGCCCTCTCCAATCTCCACCCTGAATGTTCTTAATTCTTATCTCTGTACTCATCTCTCTCTGTGGTGCCTCCTCTATGTCAATCTTTTTTTTTTTAAACTTTAATATTCTGAAAAGCTATGATGTGTGATGCCTTGCTTAGATGATTGGGGTTTTCTTTTTGGTGAGTAAATGGCTTAAAAAGACATATATGAGTATATAGGTTTTTTTTTTTTTTTGGTGAGCATATATATTGGTGAGTATATTCCCGTGACTGTGTTATCTACCACTCACAGAGTGCCAATTATATCAGACCCGGTGTTAGGAGCCTTCCATACACTCATAGCAACTAGTTCTGTAGTTTTAGCTTCACAATCCAGAAAAAGAGGTTATGAGTTCAAATAACCCAGGTATCATCTGGGTCTTCTTGTGTTTAAAAACTTGAAAAGGCTTGGGGCAGGTGGCTGGAGAGACAGACAGACGGCTCAGTGGTTAAGACCACTTGTTACACAATCATGAAGACTGGAATTTGGATCTCAGCGCTCATGAGCCACACAGGCATCTGGCAAAAGCCTGTAACTCCAGCTCTGAGGTGGGCAGAGACAGGAAGATCCCTGGGACTTGCTGGTTTGCAGCACAGCAAAGAAAACAGGAGCTCCGGGTCTAGCGAGAGACGCTGCCTCAAAGGAATAGGTGGGGAGCTGGAGAGTGATGAGGAAGACATCCAATACCTATTCTGATCCAAGTGCACATACAGTTGTGCATA